GGCCTCCTCCAGGAATTCGCCACCTCCTCAGGATAGAAACCCTTTCCAGGCGAGCGACAGAAGGCAAGAAAAGAGTTACATAATTCTGTTCGGCCAAGCCGCCAAGGGAAAAAATGGGGGGCGCTATGCTGTCATTTTCTCATGTGTTCTCGGGCGGAGGAAGGAGAGGGGGTTCCTGATTTTGGGTCGGGAGGCGCATCTCCTCCCGGTTTCTGGCTGGATCTGCTGTCCGCAGAGCTCGGGCTGCCCAGCGGCCAGAGCCTCAGGCACAGGAGAACAATCCGAGGCTTTTGTTTTTTTCCTTAAATAAGCAGGACCTCTCCCCCAAAAAACACACAGGAGAAAAAGGAGACTTTCGAGTTATGCATGAAAATGCCAACTGCCGCGGGGGCCCGCTCTTTCTGCCCGTGCAGGGCGTGCCGGTGGATTTTTTTTATCAAATGCTGTTAAATTCGCCCGAGTGTCGATTAATTACCCCCGTGGTGCGTAAAATAATGCTGCTCTTCTGGGTGTCCAGGAGCTTTGGAGACAAGTCGAGTGGAGGAAAAGAGCTTAGGAAAAACAGCCCCTTCTTTCTAAGCACCGAGCCCCGCTGCTCCTCGCCGGGAGGACACGTTTCCCTAACGTTGCACTGGTGGGGGGTTGCTCATTTCCCAACGCTGCTGACGCACAGACCAGACAAACCCGAGAAGGCACGTTTGTGTGCCCACTTGCCCGGATTCTCGTCTGAAAGCATTTACGCACAGATGCAATAAATATGCCTCTGCGATCCTCAAAGAAAAAAAAATAAATAAATCGTGAAATATATTTTTTATTGTGAAAAGAACATTGCTTCCCAGTGAGCCCCTGCTAGCCCGGCGGCGCTGGCTCTCTCCCGCGAAACGCTGAAGCGAGACCCCGCGCCCGGGAATCCGTCCCCAGGAGTGTCTTGCTAACAAGCCTTCCTCAGCCCCCAAACAGCCCACCTGGAGCAGATACCTAATCGGCGTTGCTGGAAGAAAGAGGGGGCACCTTGAGGGGATGGACGGTGCCCACCTGGAGGCTGCTGCCCTGCTGAACCCAGACTGAGATTCGCCCCATTCCAAAATTCACTTGCAAACCCACCCGACGGCACTGGGGAAGAAAGCTCTCGGGCGCCCTTTTCCTTTTTAAAACAAATACACTTTTGACAAAGCCGTCGCAAACGTTCAATTGTTTTGTAAAACGAGGGGGTGGGTCACTCCGCTCGAAGGGGGAACACCCAGGTCAGATTCTGTGACTTTACAATCCTGTGCTCGGAAGAACCAGGGGTACCCTCTCCTCGTTTTAAAAAGAAGCCCCATAAACGATTGGGGGGAGGAGAGCAAGAGTGGGGGTAGAATGAACAGATTTGCATGAGAGGTTGGAAAGGTTTTACGCATTTTCCAATATATAAAAAAATTTTCCAAAACCTGCCCGAATGACTCGGAGACCCACTTGCAGCTTCCTGAGCCTCCGGCCCCCAGGTGCGGAGTGGTCCAGGCCGGGGCTGAGCTGAGTGGGAAGTGGCACTGCCCGGGTCTAGCTCGGGTTGGGCAGGCAGAGCAAGTGAGGGCTGCGGGCAGGCAGGCCGTGGGTGGGCTGGAGATCGGCGAGCCCTGCGAGGGGCTGCTCCCCGGCCGGCCCAAAGCCGCCAACCACATTTACCCCAAACCACCTTCCCCGTTTTATTTGTGCTGCCCTATGCCTGCCTGTGGCTGAGCTGACTGGTGGCCTCACCTTCTGCTGGAGCTAGAATCCCATCAGCCCAGGGCACGGCGCAAAAGGGATCCCCGGCATTGTGCCTCATCGGGGGTGCTCCAGACAGAGTGGGAGGCCTTGGCTGGGCTCTGGGGCCAGTGGAAGAGCTGGCTCTCCGACTCTGGCTCCAGCTCCTGCCCGAGAGCCCCCAGCCGACAAGAAGAGCGAGGCACAAAAACCAGCTCTTGCTGGGCCCCCAGGCCAGGGAAGCAGGCCAGAGTAGGCCCTAGGATGGGGCTCACCCAGAGCCTTTCAGAGTAGAATCCCATGCCCTCTGGAGGGCTTTGACTCCAGCCAAGTAGTTGGAGGGGCAGGCCAGCCACTCGGGGTTTCATCAGGGCCTGGGTGTAGAGACAGTCTCTGGGCAGAGCAGGTAGGCTTTTCCCAGAGCACACGCAGCCCCTCTGAGCCCCACACCGCCCACCGCCCGAGCAGCCTACCCACCCTGCAGCCCCATCCGAAGGAGTTTTCCAGGCCTCACTAGAAAGTTGTCGCAGGCACCCACTTGCCTCTGCAATGCTGCCCTGGGGATCCCCACACCCCTCTTTTGGCTGTTGCTCCTCCCTGCCTCCCTCTCAATCATACTGCCAGGCACAAAACCCAAATGGAAGGGGGGAAGCCACATCTATCTGTCCCAAGCCCCTTGCCAGACACATCCAGTCTCAGCTAGAAAACAAAAGTCAGCAGGTAGAGCTCAACCCACAGCCTCTGGCCTCAACCCCGGGAGCTACACCAGGGCAGAGCAGGCTGATTCGGGCAGTTCCCCGCCCCCATGGGGAGCCCCAGATTGCGGTTTGCCACCTCTTGAGGTCCTCCTCCTAGACACCTTCTCCAACCAACAAAAATTATAAGTGCAAAATGCCCCCATGGAATGGTTCTGGGGACGATGGACATCCTTTTCTCTCCATCGGGGACTAAAAAACGCAGCAGGGCTCATGGCAGGAAGCGGGTATGGGGGGCTGCTCAGGCAGCTCAGCACCCCTGCACCCCACCTCCTTGCTCCAGGAATCCCAAACCTCCACACACCCTGCCTTTGTGCTGGAGAAGCACACCACTAGGGCCTCCCTCCCTAAAGCACTGCTTTCGTTTAGAAATCAGTTCTTGGTCCCCAATTCAGGCCTCCCAGGGCCGTGGCATCTACCCCCGGTCGGCCCAGGGCCTTGTCCTGCACCCCAGCTCAGCGGCCCAGCGCTGGTTTTCCGGACAAAGGGCGGCAACTAGGAGCTGCCGGAGGCTGCCTGAGGCTCCCGGCCACCCCACCAGTGTTGGCCCGGCTGGGATGGTTCGCCCCTGCGGGAGACGCGCAGCCCTCGGAGTTGATGGGCCCAGCGGCGCACAGAGCCCAGCGGCGGCCGGGGGGACGCGGGCCCGGCCTGGCAGTGGGGGCGGCCGGGCTCGGGTGCCGGGCGGCGGGGAAGGAGGAGGGCGAGAGGCGCTTACTGTTGGTAGTCTTGTTTGCAGTACAGTTTCCGATCCCGGAAGTAGCAGCTGGTGGTGAGGGCTTGCTGACACGCCGCGCACTGCAAACACTCCTCGTGCCAGGACGACTCGTTGACTCGCATCAGGAAGCGGTCGGAGATGGGCCGCTGGCAGCCCTCGCAGACGGCGGGATGCGGGCAGTCGGAGCCTGCAGCGCACA